TATCTCCCATAAACTGTTCATGATTCTCATGACTTGATTCATTTTGGCCCTAAACTCATCTTGGTTCTGTAAGTGTTTAGAGAATTCAAACCTTAAATAATTCTCATTAAAGCGGCCCCACTTCACACTTATATAGGTGATCTCCTATTGAGAGTATTATGTCCTACTTCACTTAACTTAATCAAGATATAGGAATCATTAAAAGTTTATCTTAACCTCCAACCACTCTGCAGAAAGCATTTTGGTATCATAGGAATGAGTTAGGAAATTAGTTTCCTAAGTGCTTCGTGGAATCCTCATAACTTAGTTGTCCCTTTAAACCAAGATCTCGGGATCTCCAGTCAATATGGTAGGGTTACCGTTATAAAGATCTTACTCAGTAGGCTTAATCTCATTCCCTTCGATGTGCAGTATACTTGATCTCTTGGTAAACATATATAAATGGATCCACAACTTTACACTAATGAGATCAACTGCTTATGGTATTATGTCTACGACGTACATGAATATACTTACCATTACATGTGACTTAGTATCTTTTCAAATTTAGCTAGCCAATGATTGATTCATTTGATAGGTACACATTGTCACCACCAAGAAATCCTCTCGTGAAGCTACCTGCTTTTCATTAGCTTTATTTGAGCTTTATCAATTCCAAATAATGTTGGAGGACTTTTATCAAATCCTTACACTAGTCTATCATATTTACTAGTGGATTTCATACATGGGTATTCAATATTGTCATTAAAGCATTGCAATGCATTTTAATTTTATGAATATTCTTAAATATTCCAATTGTTCTTCTATCTCTAATCAATCGTCATGATCGACTTTCATCCCATTTCATCCACTTTAGGGCTTTCATCCATTTTCATTTATAGATTTAGTGTATACCATCGCATCACAATATCCTTATAATACTGCAGGATATCTTGTGATATATAATCCATAGGTCATGGTATATTTCAGATACCGAAGGACCCCTGTCAATGCCACCCAATAATTATGACATGAAATTTCGTTTTCACATTATCCGGTCAAGTGCAGTTTGTAATATACATTATAATGTCAATTACTTGTGAATATCTCAGTTGTGATACGCTTTCACTCTTATTTTGACCAAGTGTAGACTTGTGTCAATAGGGTTTTCCCGAACTTTCCTCTAATATATCAAACTTTTTAAATATTTTCTCAACATAATGAGACCAGGAAAGTACAATTCATTCCAATGTTCTAGAGATTTTTATCTCTAGTACTACATCTGCCGCATCCATGTCTTTCATGTCTAATGCTTCGTAAGCATTTCCTTGGCATTTAACACCACTTCGTGATTATTGCCCCTTGACATTTAACACCATTTCATGATTATTGCCCATCATCAACATATTGTCTACATATAAACACATAATCGCATAGGCATTATGTGTATTTTCCACAAATACACACTTGTCACATTCATTTATTTTGAACTCATTTGACAACACTGTTTTGTAATCTTTTGGTGCCATTGCTTAGGAGCTTGTTTCAATCCATATAAGGATTCAACAAGTTTACAAACTTTGTGACTTTCTCTTGGAGATACCTTTAGGTTTCTCCATGTATATCTCTTCTTCTAATTCACCATTTAGGAATTTCATTTTCACATCCGTTTTGTGAATCTCAAGGTTATGTATTGCTGCAGTTGCAATTAGTAACCTTATCAAAGTTATTATAGTCACGAGTGAGTAGGTAAAGAAGTCAAATCCATCTTCCTGCCTATATCCTTTGGCAACTAATCTAGCCTTATATTTATCAATGGATCAATCAGGTTTTAATCCATTTACACCCGAAGGCTTACTTTCGGGAGGTATATCTACCAATTCTCATGTATGAATTTGCATTACGGAATCTATCTCACTATTGATAGCTTCCTTCTAATGCGGTACTTCCAGAATAGACATTGCTTTTCCAAAAGTCTTTGGGTCATTTTCTACCATACCTGTTAGAAAATTTGGACCAAACGAAGTGTACGTTCTATCACTCTTACTACGCCTTGGTTCTTCCTCATTTGAAAACTCATTTGTAGTTTCATATGTTCTTTTATTCAAACTTACATTTTTCTTGTCTTGCAAGGAAACACATTCTCAAATAATATCGCATTCCTTGACTCAATTATGGTACGGTTGTGTACATCCAATTTGTGTACGAGGAAACGATATGTATTACTATTATTGACGTATCCAATAAATATGTAATCAATTGTTTTGAGACCAATCTCTATTTGTTTAAGCTTGAGAATCTCAACCTTTGCCAAACATTCTCACACTTTTAAGTGCTGGTAGGAAGGAGGATGATATTTTCATAACTCATATGGAGCCTCTTCCATTTTCTTGAGAGGTACAGGAAAGTGTAACTTTAAACTAAGTTACCCCACAAGTCCTAAATTAGGGTTATATATCCAAATAGTAGCGTTGTACCCATACGACTTGAACTTTTCACATAAGTTCTTAAGCATTTATGATAACCCCCACATTTTTGGATTATTCTTGAACTTAGAGTTTATCAACTCTTTCATAGTTCAATCCATTTATCACTTATATAATATCAAAATAGTGGTCATTGCTTCACGTGAATGAAAATCATTTTTTATTCGTACTTCAATCAACCATATTAATTAGATCATCCAAATTAAATTAAGGTCATCTTTAAGGTCGCCATAAACCAACTTAGTTGGTTCCACTATTGAAGTCAAATTCAACAATGAAGAAGATTAAGCATCTTCAACCACGTGAAACTTTCACATTTGTGACATTTCACAAATAATATTATTCACGTCAAATAATAAGGTACATTTCACTGTATTCACCATATTCACATTTGAAATAATAAATCAATCATAGATTGACAAGTTGTGCTTTTAAAGTCACAACTTTACAAAAGGACATACCTTTTAGAATTAATCCTAGAATATTTCATAATATTCTTCACAATTTTTGCATAGTTTTTATCCTTTACAAATGAATGTCATTTTACAATCATTATTTTTAATGATATCCGGCACCACCGTCAACTACAGACACCATTTGTACTCTATAAAATATTTTCATATCTCAATAATTGGGCAAACAATTTCCACTTTCAAATAATTAGGATAAAACCACATTTTGTCACTCTTATGCAACTATAATTTTGCACAAGTCATCTCATTTAATTTCATAGAATTAATTGAGGCTATCATCATTAATCAAGGTTTGTATAATTTTCAAACCAAAATCTATAGACATATATTGGATTTACAATTTTATATCATATATGTTATTTACCGGATTGACGCATACCGTATATGAAACTTATCGTATATGCAGCTTACCGTATTTGCATCGTATTGTATATGCATATACCGATTTTGCATATACTAACCAAAAGTCTATCCGAAATCCAAACTCTTGTATGGATTCACCAAATAGATTCACTATTTGGAATTCACGTTTATACAAATGACATAATAATGTCACATTCCATATCCACTTTTGTATTTTATTCCAATGAACATTAGCGATTCTTTAAGGAATTTACCATCAAATAAAATTGTCATAAGCCAATTCATGCTTTCCAATCAAAAGCCACCACAAACTGTTTTCATTGCATTTAAAATGAAAATCATATTATTCCAATTTCCGCATTCCACATGCAAGGGTACCCAAAACAGTTAAAGAAATTATAATAAAATTCCTTTGACAACTTATGGCACAAGTTCTTTTAAAATAGGCACACCCTTTGGATTAAGATCACAAGCAAATTGAACTTAGCAAATGAAACTGCCAAATCAACAAATTAAATAGTATTTGGTCAAAACAGATTTCATCCACTAGCCATACCATTCAATCACAGTAACCTCATTTACCATTGAATTATACAAATCCATATAAAACATGCTTGTTATTTTGCATTAGCATTATAACAGTCGGCTACTTTAAATTGAGGCAGTTACAAAATTTTCAAGGAGACATCAAAACGTATCCCCAACACATGCAATAAAGGACCCTTTCATGCTATTGACAGTGATGGACGTTTCAAATGTACGTGCACAACCATATTCATTAAAATGATGGCATCGACCCATGAACATTAACCAATATTAATTTGTATGAATAAACAATTATGCACAATCATAAATGTTCAGAGAATGGCCAAAGTCACCGGTTCAGTTGTCAATGTATGCATTTAATATATACCATTCAACCATGGCAACAATTGGAAAAGATACACACTAGTGCATGAGATTGTTATTATCTTCAACAAAACACATGCATCAATTACACAATAGCAGTTGGCAACTTGGCAATTGGCAGAACATTCAAATTCTTTCCAATCAGAACATATTCAATGTTATTTTGATGGAAAGGAAATTACTAATATATTTGATATCAAGTAAAGCATCATATAAAATGTACAAGACACCAGTAAATTCACAATTTGTCATCTTAAGCATGTACAAAACCGAAACTTTTATTTTCCTCATTATACTTTTTCAAGCTCTTGAGTTGGCTAATTGATCAGGTGCCATTATATGTATCAACCAAAATGGTTTCAAAAGTTGCATTTGTAGATAAACCATCAATTTTCATACCATCAGCCGGAAAATATGTAAAGTGCAATTGAGAGTATAGGATATGAAGCACGATGTACACCTTACAGGGGACATTCAATCCAATGGTGGTTTGCCTCCATTTTGCCTAATGCTGTTCTTGATGCATGGCGCCTATCCACTGGAATCCATAGACGAACGGGATAATCTCTTATTAAAGTTTTCGTATTTCTCGTTATATGGTTCTTTATGAGAGGATTTGACGACGATCTAGGACTATTAAATGTCATTCAAAAGTAATATTAAACTTCTACATTTCAAGAAATCCTTTATCTGTGGTTATAGATGACTAATTTTGTCGACTTTATGTCAAAGTTTTCACCCGAAGGACCGTGAGTCAAACAAAAGCAATTCTAGATGAAGAGTTCTATGGTAAAGAATATTAAGAACAAACAATATACATAAAGCTCAATATAACCTTTTGATATACTCACAGTTGTCCAGGATAAATCCTACTAAAACCAGAAACAGAATTTATATATATGTATGTAACCAATATAAAGATTGACAACCTTTCTCAATCTGATCTCATCCTATTTATCTGGTTCAAAGCTGGTTGCAAAATGTTGTAAAGCACCCAAAGAATGGCAGGAGTGACCACAAACAGCAAGAGCTGGCCTCTGTTGTCACTTGTGGCAGCATCAGCAATCATGACGATTTCGCTGGCCGATGCCTCTGGCGGGTGCATGAAACTCGAGCCCATGAGTCCACCTAACCCAAGCCCCATGATCACCCCTTTGACACTCCTCATTTTGTTAATCTGGTTAACAGCAGGTTGAAGAATGTTGAAAAGAACCCAAGCTATAGCAGGAATGATAGGTAGTAGAAGGGCAAGTCCCCGGTTATCACCTTCGGCTATTTCAGCAATTTGTTGGGCGGCAAGGGCAGCATCGGAGGAGCTGAGTGTGGAGAATATGACTCCAGCAAGGGCAGTTCCGGCCAGGCCTGAGACTTCTAATGGCTTTGAGGTGGTGGCTGTGAGCCCTTTTGGGAGGTTTTGTATGGAGAGTAGAGAGACTGGTTTCTTGGAGGGGTTAAAAGTACCCTTTGTATTGGTGTTGAGGCATTTGGTATTGATCATGGCCATTGTAGTCATGGTAGTTGCCATTGGTGTTCAAGTTTTGTTTGGCTAAATGCTGAAAGATTTGCAGGTGAACAAAACTGAGTTCAATTTTGATCTTGGTAAAAAATGGGACAGATTGAGAAAAAATGAGGTCCAATGGGATTGAAAATTTTGGATTGTTTTCTTATCCAAAGCCTGTGACTGGTGGTATATAGACCTCATATTAGATACCCCACTTGCTTTCTTATCACTTACAATATTTCTTTTTAGGCATAAAGCATCGTAAAATATTTTTATGGTACATAAACAGACTACAAACTTGTGAGAGTGAGAGACAGAATATAATGGTCAAGCATTTCTTGCATAATCAGAGAGTAAACATCATCATCAATCCATCAAACAGAACACTTCATTACAAAAACAAAGCCACTCTAGAGGAATTCTTCAAAGGAATGTATCAACTCAAACTGTGTGTCTGATGTTCGAGCAAACTATATAGCGTACACAATTTTTTTAGACCAAGAAAAATTTTGTAGAAAATACCGGATAATTTAATATTCAGATGATGAGATAACATCATCAATCTTCAGAATCATTTTAACATCTTTAGTTGCCAGAAGAATCTGCTGTTGTTTCCCAATCAGCGTCTCAAAGACGTCTTGCTCGAGCATATCATTAGTGCCAATATCATTGCAATCGATACCACAGCAGTGGCTGTTTTCCTCGATATAAAAATTCACAATCATTAGAGACAAATGAACACCTAAAACGTCCACAAGACTAGGGACAAAGGAACGGGGAAAATTTCACCATTGCATTTTACAAACATTTGAACAGCTTCTGAATTCCCGTCACATTGGGATTGATGGTACAACATGGAAGACAAACTTGCCCCTTTGTTAAGGTTGGGACCTGTTTGCTACTAGGGATAGGCCAGGACCAATGGTGCAAATTTCCCAAAGAATAAAGGGAAGAGAGACTTGTTTTTGGTCCTCAAATCACAGAGAAGTTGCAATAATGTCAAGATTACCTTAATCTGTTGAGATTTAACAGCAGAAAGAGTCTCGATGGGTTGGAGACCACTATTCTCTGCTAGAGCCATTTGAATTGCATCTAATGCATCTGCAAATGTCCTAATTGCGTACTGCAGACAATATTAACCTTTTAGCATATTAGTTAAAAGTAATAGGATGGAAGGATATTTAGCATATTACCTGCTCAACTCCTGGGTGTTTATCAGCAGCTGCTTCGACAGCAATTGAGCAAGAAATCTCGGCTGACCCTCCGCCATATACTATGGAGTTGTTGCTAATAAGATTTCGAGCAACATATAAAGCATCATGAAGGCTGTGTTTCGTTTCCTCTATCATCATCTTGTTACCTAATGCATCATCAAGAACAACAATCTGTTTCAAATTTCTGTGTTCATGGAATTATTATTTCCCGTTCCTCTTATCTTGCGCTATTCTCTGTTTCTTTCATCTTCTCAAAGAGTTACACAACATAGTTTGAAAGTTACAGTGCTGGATACTTTTATTTCAAAACCATGTGAAAATTTGTAAAAAAGAGGTCTACCATCTACCTCGTCTCATTTCATCACAAATAACCAATTATGCTACTATTCAACACAAAACTGCGAAAAAAAAGAACATCAAGAACGATGCTCAGTGAAGAAATAAGATAAAATCAACCTACCCCCAAGTATAAATATGGTTACAGCCCTTGAATTTGCACAATGTTCAATGTATATCATTCAATCTTTAGTAGTGCCAAATGCTTTTTCTCGAACCAAACCAGCCTGGGGTGTATAAACAATCATCAATCATTATGATCTTTTACACAGTAGCATGCAAAAGCAAACTGAGTTTCATACGCAATTTGTAAATATAAACACGAGGCCAGCATTACAGAGAGGAAATATTACTCTGCGTAGTTTTTCTGGGGTCAACTCTTGAAACCTTGGCACAATCCTCCCACCTAAACGCCAAAGTAGAGAGACACAGGCAATTATAAATCCAAAATGTATTAACGTACCGAAACAGACAAATCTTATCACTAGAAAATTGCAAAATTGATACAAACCTTTGGCTATGGCAATCAGTTCTAACTCAACACCACCAACCCATCAAACAGCAGGCAAGTTTATGAGCATCAATAAGTGATTTGCCTTATCATCAAAACCCCATTGGCAGATAACCAGAGTAGCGCCAACATCCTATAACACCAAAGGATTGTAAGGAAAATGCAGAGAACCATATACATATAAATATATCTACACTTGACATGCTCAGCAAAATCCCCTAGAGTAGAAACAACAATCTTCCAGAGGATGATCAGGATGACTCGAAGAGGAAATGGAAAAAGGAAAAGATGGAAGCCCTTCACCTTGCATTTCTGAACCATGTCGTCAAAGTACTTCTGCTCTTGTTGACATAGTGTTTGGACTTTTTCAACGGTATCAATGTCAACCTTATGCTTGGTCTTTGGCTTCGGTGGCTCAAAAGGACAAGTCAAAATGGCAATTTTGCATCCTCAATCTGCTTTGGCATCTGTGGATGACTCATATCTTTGTCGACAACAATTCCGCATATCAGTTCAGTATCCTCCAACTTTCCACCTACTTTCCCTTCTACTTTAAACAGATCTAAGTTAACATCCTTCCTCTCTAATCTGAAACAGCTAGATTGCTTTCACAGCAATCTCTGCCAAACTACGGTTGCATCTATTTACACTGCGTACAAAGTAGTAGACATCAAAACAAGTACACAATAAAAGGAATCAGTTATAATGTTAACATATGCCATTCTATAGAAAATCAAAAGAAATAATTTTGCAAGGCATGAGTGCTAGAACTAGAAGCATAGCATAAGCGCTTCAAAAATAAAGCAACAAAAGATACATCCCATATAATTGCCCACCCTACAAACCTGTTATAGCAAAGAATATATAGAAACATTTTTATATGCCTTGTTGGATTGTATGCCAGGAACCAGGGTAGAGCATCCTGTAATACTATGGGGGTGAGGGAAGCATGGTCAAATTTTTGCTTAAGAATTGGCACCTACATCTTTGAATATATAAAGTAGTCGTGCAAGTTTGAATCAGAGGTTCTATATTTGAAGCATCAAATTTGAATTTATGGGCTACATTCTCCAGATGTTCAAAAGCTATCCTAGAAGCCATTTCATATCCTTCCACAATCCAGATATGATGAATACCACGTTCTAATAACTTCTCAGCTTGTTCTAGAAGTGAACCAGCCATGACAACAACTCCAGTTGTTCCATCACCAATTTCATAGTCTTGACTTCGTGATAATTCAACCATTAGCTTCGCAATCTGATTGTCAACATCCATCTGCTCCAAGATTGTCGCACCATCATTCGCTAACAAAACAACAAGATGTGATGAGTAACTTCTCTCAAGCAAGAAACATTCAGAACATGTTCTGCAACTATAACGTTGTAGATTTTCACAAATGAGAAGCACACAGTTGAACCATCTAAAATCTTAATTTTTGTTAGAGAAAATGCCACATATACATCATTTTAATACTATCACGCCAACCAGACCGACAACTTTGAGCATAATCCCATTATTCATTGCAATTTATCCAGAAACATATGAACTATTGACATCTATTGTCATTTTTGCTGTCATATTTTGTAGCAATTATATGTATTATAATCAGTTGTAATGTTTATTTTTGGTGATTAAAATGACTATCACAGCATAGCTTTTTCTTTCAACAGGTAAGGTTGTAGTTGGTAGGAAGTTTTTGACTAGAAGCAAGATAGTAAGCTTTTGTAATATATATATATATAATGGCAGCAGGTCATGGGGCTTAATGTACTGATATTTTTCCCAGAAAATTCTGTCTTTCTCTTCCTCTTTGCTTCACAAAACCATCAATGGTATCAGAGCAAAAGGATCTTAGAGGAAAAGGAAAGGTTGTGAGACAGAAAAAGAGAGAAAACAAGTGAGGAACTTCTACCAAAACCTTCACCATATCAGCTGGAAAAATCAGACCTGAGAGGGATGGCTTTTACAGGTGAAAATTATGATTTTTGGGTAGCAAAAATGAAGGCTTACCTGAAAGCATACGACCTGTGGGAAATAACAGAGACAGGAAGTGATCCACCACCTCTTAGAACAAATCGTACTATTGCTCAATTGAAGCAACATAGTGAGGAGGTTGCAAAAAAGTTCAAGACTTTGTCTTGCATCCAATCTACCGTGTCTGATGCAATATTCACCAGGATTATGACTTGTGAAACAGCAAAGGATGCCTGGGACAGATTGCAAGAAGAGTTTAGAGGCAATGCAAGAACAAGGCAAATGCAAGTTTTAAATCTAAGAAGGGAGTATGAAACCTTGAAGATGAAAGACTCAGAATCTATCAAAGAATATTATGATAGGCTGATGAAAGTGGTGAATCAAATAAGGCTGTTGGGAGATGACCTACCTGACAGGAGAGTTGTGGAGAAGGTGCTGATCAGTTTGCCAGAAAAATTTGAGGCAAAAATCTCTTCTCTTGAAGACTCTAGAGATCTGTCTTCTATAACCTTGTTTGAGTTGGTTAATGCCTTACAAGCTACTGAGCAAAGGAGGCGAATGAGACAGGAAGAACAGGTAGAAGGGGCCTTGTTTGTTAAAGGAAAACATAAAGCTCAAACAAGTTTTGGTGTAAGAAAGCACCAAAATGAAAAGAAGAAGGTGGAAAACAATAAGACTGCTGGAAAAAGTGGAGTTTATCCTCCATGTGGTCATTGCAAAAAATCAGGACACTCTTCAAAATGGTGTTGGTATCGACCTGATGTTCAATGCCGAAGTTGTAAGCAATTCGGACATGTTCAAAAAGTGTGTAAAAATTTGAAGGAGAAGCAAACAAAGTCTCAAGCACAGATGGCTGAAAATCAGCAACAACATCAGGAAGAGCATCTTTTTTCAGCTATCAATTTTAAGGCCTGCAGTAATGTTGAAATTTGGTTGCTGGGTAGTGGATGCACTCATCACATGACTCCAAATTCCAGTATCTTTGTTGAGCTAAATGATGCATACAGATCAAGTGTTAAAGTTGGTAATGGAGAGCATGTGGAAGTGAAAGGAGTTGGGATGATTGCTGTTCAAACTCTATCAGGTACCAAATACATAACTGATGTTCT